CCGGAGCGCCACGTGAAAAAGAAAGACGTGGCGCGCTGCTTGTAGGAATGCGCTCCGTGTAGGAATGCGAGACGTAAGCAGTTTTAGTTGCCTCTTCCGAGTTTTTTTTTTGAAACAGTAGCCATACTTTATTGCGACTTAGCCGGGATGGGACATGCATGCAAATTAATCATTTGCCGGCAAGGCCAGTGCTCAAACGCACCACTGAATCTATTTTTCTCTTGTCCTTTTTATGGTTGTTATATTCTATGTATTTTCTTTTTTTTAGCTAAGGCAATTACGAAGCAGAGACCTGCCTTGAGTAACATTTTGCCGGCTGTACAATATTTGCGATTCCCGCCAACGCTTGAGGATTTTAGGCGCATTCAGCACAAACTGACGCGGCGTCATAGTTCTAGAATGCAAAGTACACTATTTCGCTGACTGTAGTCCGCGAGCTTTACATATTCGCAAGTTGAAATTCTAAGCGTTGCGGACTATAAAGGAATTTTGTTTTTAATATTCAAGATCATTCATTATAACAAGACGTGGCGGCGGACTTTGTGATGGCAAGGTTACGTTAATTTCAACCTTAGTTAGATACCAGCTTTTTTGGGAGCTAATAACAATGGAGGCATTTTTTAATGTGTGCTCTCTACGATAACTTCTTACGTGACAACTATCCACCAGGCGGGGACCATTAAAAAATAACACTCTTTTTTTAACCGAAATTTTCACCATCGTTCTGTGGGATTCGAACACGGTGGCATAAAACACCATTTATATTTATGCACTTTAATGAACACCATCTATGTGATTCAATTGTTTGTAGGCAAAGAAAAGGTTACCTTGAACAACTTTTTCATCTGATGGGTAGCTCAGGCGATAACAAATAGCCCCATAGTTAGCCAAAGAGCATTGCCCCTTCTGTGCGGACCCGGCATTTTACATTGCTCACTCGTGAATGCGACATATAGTGTTATGTCCACAGCCTTTGGTAAGTGAGGCGAAACAATAAAATGTGACTTGTCTGCTAATGTCAGGACATTTTATCCAGCTCGCCGCAAAAACAAGCCCATAATTTTTTTTATTTTTTTATTTTCCGCCAGTCTTGTGAGGGCAATGTGGTTCTACCAGGACTGAAAATGTGAGATTTTTTTCTCTCAGTCGAAGCCACCCTGCAATATTGATTGGCTACAGCGGCTCTCTAGCTTTGTACTCCATATTACTTATAGTTGGGGGTTTCTATACTCCTTTTCGCTCTTAAATTGGACCGCCACCACCGCTACGATCTGACGAGAGTAAATCAACACGCGCCGAATTGCTTCGTCACGGCGCTCGTAGTTTTCGTGCGTTTGCAATGCCCGGCTCAACCAAACACGCAGAGCGACGGCTTCATGACCTCGCACTTTTTGCAGTGAGGGGTAAATTTAGCCTGCGGTAGCAAACGCGCAAAAAATACGAGTGCCTTGACGATTAACTTTTGGCGCTGATTCATTGTCGCCATCGGATCATGGCGTGGGCTGTTATCGGACTTCATCTTAATCGGAGTATGGTTATTACTCAATCGGAACGAAGCCATTCGCTACTCTGCTTAAATAAATGACGAGGAAATGTTTCCTGATGCTTTGGGAACAGGTTGACGCACGAAAGCGCTTGTACTGCGGGACCTTATGGTAGCCGGATGCTCAACCCGTTCGCGTGCAAAAATATAGAAAAACAAATCGCGAAGCGCAGCTTATGGCGGAGAGCAAGTCGTCTGCTTCCTGTGCAGGAGTTACGGTGACGTCAGAAAGACGCCGTGCTCTGAATGGCTCTGATTCGAGGACAGTGGATAGATCTCGAAGCAAGCAGTCTTGGGATCCACCCACTATGCTTCAACCACAGCCAATCAGTGCTCGGCCTTCTGACGTCACAACGAACTTCTGCAAAAGAAACAGACGAACTTGCGTTCCGCATTGCTACTGTGGCAAGCTCGGCTCAAACGACCTTTAAACAACTCGCTAAAACCAAATGCAAAAAAAACGATGAAAATGCAACGATTGTAATATTGTTTCAAAAGCAGCAGCTGCGACGGAATTGTGTGCACGGCTGCAGAAACTTGGAAAGCCGCATGACACCGACTTTCGTGTATTATTCGGCGACGGCTCCGCCGTCACAGAAGGCACATCTGAGTTTATCGAGAGGATGCCAGGCTTGAAACTACTAAATGCATACCAGTAAACGTTGTAAAGGTATTCTGCAATCCGCACATTCTGTTCCCGTAATAAGCAAGTGGAAAGGTTCTGCCATTAACTTTATTTATTATGAGACCCTGGAACGGAGCCGGTCGCCAAAGTTACCGGATCTCTTTTTTTCTTGGTTCGTTTTATTAGAGAACATGACTAAAATCAGGCCACAATAGTGATTTCGTCAGTAACTATTGACATCTCAGGCAGCTAACAACCGAAGTTATGTATCAACTTCAATGCCTAGTGAGAAGTTAAGTGCTTCTTATAAATTTTTATGATGCACCCAATCACTAATCTACCCAACATAGAGGTCGCCTTACTTTTACTTAGTTTATCATTGCATAATATTGATGAAATATCTAAACTTTATATTTTGATAGGTCAAACTAGCTGCATAGTCTTTATCAAAATTGCAGAGCCCACCACGCGCGTGGCCGGAACGGGCTCACTCCCGTGTATCGCCGCTGTTATCGTCGGGTCTATACGTGCTCCAAGGTCAAAGAACTTCAACAGAAAAGTGGAAAACATTCATTACTCAGAGCAAAGGCCGGAGCAGATGGGACTGGGGATGTTGTTAGAACAGCGTCAGAGGCAATGCTAATCTTTCTTTTTTATTTTCCCACATTTGACATATCGTCTCTGCCGACTACGAATGGCGGCGCAATTCAAGCAATCGGGGAAATGGAGCTAGAAATTGCCGTGCCAATATTTTATGAAAAATCGTTTCCAATTCTTCTATATTTTCCTTCCCCTTCTGTCAGAACAGATATGAGAGTATGGCACAGAAGGAGGACGCAAGATGAATCTTTCATAAACAGTGTTTTGATGAGAGACTCGTATTTGAGAGTTTTTTTTAGAACGTTTGAAATACGTTCACAACTCGTAAGTTTCATGGCGTACTGCTCATTTTGACTATCTACAACCTTTCCCACAATAAAATTTGCATTCCTGCACAGCGTACTAGTCTGGCACTCCAGGAGTCTATATTGGTTCGGTGCTTGTATTTAAATGAGTATGAAAACCCCTATTGAAACATTTCAAAAAGGAATTGTTTATTGGAGTTATGGTATCCCAATATAGGCTTAGTGGAATAATTGTAATACAAGGAAAGTTAATTATCATCTGATAAGCCCATTAAGCCCGATAACTTTTTGTATTGAACCACGATTCATCCCGATACAATGCTTGTGTTTATTAGATTTGTTTTTGTGTTGGGCGGCAATATGGAATACGATATGCCTTATACCCCTTTTTTCACACCAGCTTGAACTAGATCACAGTGTAAGATACACTCTTTAGGTGTGGACACGGAGGGGCTGAACGCGGGGTGGGAGAAATCAGATAGTGTTCGTTCGACGGGCATCCGAACGGCAGCATCATTCCGCTGCCACCGTGCCCGCGGCTGACAGCGTCGCCGGCGGCCAAACGGCGAAACTGTGTGAGAGCGAAAAAAATGATCTCGTTGCTATGACTCCCCGGTACACCGTGGTCTTTCTGCACCAGCGACAACCTCGCAGGAGCTCTGCGCGTGTGGAGCATGAGGCGGCACGAGCCGTCTTTGCCGTGCCCACGGGTCGACGAGTCATCTTCCGGCGCCGCTTGAAACCATAGTGAGAGAGAGAAAGAGAGAGGGTGAACTGAGCGAACTTCATCTGCACTACGCGAGGAGCGCGCTGTCCTCACCTGAAGAGTATTATCTTACACCATGAACTAGACGCACAAGACTTGGACAACTCATCGGAGGCAGGAGGCTCGCCCTGGTGTGGAACAAGTTTCACACCATCGCGATCTTCCTACCTTCAACGAGTTGTCCAAGTCTTGTGCGTCTCGTGCAAGTCTTCATCTTCCGCAGCTCGAACTTGCGCGAGGAACCAACGCCCTGCGGAGGGCAAGGGGTGCGTTCTGGAGGCCGCGAGTTGGAGCGTCACACTCTGACGTTCTCATCTGCCAGTAGTTACGGTTCCTATATTAAAAAGAAGGCATAATTGCTCGGTAAGTAGGTTCATGATCGTGATTTTGTTATTGAAAGATAAAAAGGGCCGACGCTTGAAACGACCTTTCAAGCAGTTTAGCATTTTCGCATACCAATCTGGACTCGAGTATGCTTTCATTACACACTAGCTCAATAACCAATTTTAATATTAACGAAGTTTGGTTATCTTATATAGCCCTTAGATTAGAAGCAACTCGTCATGCATATAGTTAATTTTTTCAATGCCAAGATCTTTACAATGTAGTTTAAGATAAAATATAATTGAAGTACACCCAGTCGTATACCAGGGAGGAGGAATGGCACATACGTTTGCATAACTCTATTTTTATCATATGAGAATTTGAAAGCATTAACTGTCTCATGGAGTGAGTTGACGTCATCAGTAGGAAGCGCGAAAACGGCTCCTAGTTTCCGCGCGCCTTCGGTTCCATGGCCTCCAAGATCCCGAAGCGCGCGCGCGCTTGTGCGCTGCAGACGACAAAGGGAGCGGACGAGCGGCTTGGATGCTTTCGCATTCACAACTCATAAGAAATGCTTAGGTGTACCTTGAGCTTTTTTTCAATTTTGAGGATTACTGTTTTGTGTATCTAATTTACGATACGAGAAGTCTCAGTAAAATGTTTCTCGACATAATTTGATTCCTATCATCCGCTTCTGTATCCATAAGATATCAACTAGTGGTTAAAAATACATGGATATGGATAAATAACATTGCCTATATTCACACATCAGACTCAGTAATATGTAGAACAGGAATTCCGCCCAAACGGACAAATGTGTTGTCTCTCTTTCTACAGCCCGGGGCCGCACAATGTCATGCGGGTCTGCAATTGGTCGGAAAAACGGTATCTCCGAAGAGACCATAGCCTACATTCTGACGGTCACAACTCTACTCAACATTTTGTGGAAGCCTCTGATGGGGTACAATTTTGACCGGACGCAAAACGTAATCAAGGTCTTGCTGACGTTCTAAGTGCCTGCTATCCTCTTCTACGCCTTTTCTACTTCAGCGAACATATGATCAAAACACCAGAGCTAAATGGTCGGGTAGCCCGCTCAGTAGGAAGTGCAAATCTCTTGAACTCAGTCTCAACGTGCGTTGCAAAACCACAGAAATGCTTCCTTTCGTGACCAACGAATTAAACCTAATACAGCGAAGTTAAAGGAAGCCAGTTTTTTTTTCTTTTTGAAAACATCACTTCTGTTGGCAGCGCTCTCTTGAATAATACGTCTGGTAACCAAGAGAGGGGAAAATGAACGGGCTAGCTTCAAAGCTATTTCCTTTTTGCGCTGCTTCATATGCTGGACACTGTGCTCCTTTGCTGCATTCCCACGCTTCGGATGAAAAAGCTATCAGTCAACTTCTTCAGGGACATCTCTGTTCTCTTCAGCTATCCGGAACTGGTGGTACTCGCCCTTTGGCGCTATTGGGTCTTTGTTTTCAATCTACGTATCATACAACACGTGGTTCGCAGAGGATGTTGGAGCATCTAAACTGATAATAGGTCTTGTGTACGCACTCAGATGAATCGGTGCGGAGCTGCCCGTTTTCCCTGTGTACGGCTGGACCTTGAAAATGAACGCCCTATTATCCCTCGTATTTCTTTACGATTTTGACCTTCGCGGTGACGTACTTTGGCTGTTCGTTCCTCTACAACCCGTGGTTTGCTCTCCTCGTGGAACCCGTCAGCGGTGCTGCGCTTTCAATGACGACCCCAGCGATGACTGTGTGTGCTAAAAGGGTGATGCGAGAAGGGACTGCCACCTCCTTACTGTGCGCCTTTAGCACTTGCTAAAATGCCGTCGGTAAGATTAATACACACTCAGGTGTGCGCCCGCAGCATTATTTTGAGATCCCGGGAAACGCAAAGCGTGGAGAGTTTCGGGCACCTTGTGTCGCTCGGCAACCAATGAGATTTTGGCATATACCAACCAGAACGACGAACAAGCGATCTTGAGGCCAGAAGCGTGGACATAAGAGGCCTATTCTGCAGTTCAATGCTCTCTGTGGCGGTGTAATGATCATTACACACCCAGTAAAGACTAAATGAGTATTATCCCAATAAAACCAACCGCAATTGTCCTAGAACTAATTTAGAAACTTAATTTATTTATGAAGTGGCCTTCTAGAAAACTAGAAGTTCTAACATATATCAAAATAAAGACGATTATGCGGAGCAGCAAGAACTGCTGTGAGACGTAAGAACGCGTTCTTTACTTTTTCGAGTACAAAAATAAAATTGCGCTTTCAACTCCGAAATAAAGGAGGGTATGAGACGGCGTTGGGATGTCAGAACGCTAAGCTCCGATTGAAATGATGAGCGGGTAAATGCCAAGGCAGCTTTAGTAATGGGCATAGACGCAGAGGCTAGCTGCCTTGACCTCTACTCCCTGTTCAAAAGCGTTCGAACGCCGATCTGAGTTCAAATCAGGAACGCCAACGGCGTTCGGCGTTCCAACACTTTTGTACAGGGAGTAGAGACAATGGCAGCCAGCCTTTGCGTCTATCCAATAAGCATTTCAATCGTAGCTCGTCTTTCTGACGTTCCCTCGCAAATTCATCTCCTCTTCCCCAAGCAGTCGGAGACGCGCTCCATGCACCGTCGTTGAGACAGCAAGCACCGCCAGCCAAGGAGTGAGCACTAGACGTTTGGAGTCATATAATTACTATCTTCCGAGGGCACGTTTTTGATTCGAATGTTGCGTCATTCTTTATTTAGGAGTCGTTTTAAGGTAGTTAGGCGGTTGTATTTGCTGGCTCCGCCGGCTTGTGATTGCATTGCACGACTGAAAAGAAAGTGAGCAACGTTTCTTAGCCCTGGATGGTGGTACATAGTGGTACAGATCAAGTTTAAAAAAAGTCGAGTTCTGGCTTAGTGTTACAGAAGCAACTTTGGTCAGAACAGTATCAGCGAGTTCTAGGACCTCTAGCGCTGAACACGTGGTGGTGGCTTTAAGCATCACCTTCTCAATAACAAGGCTACGGCGCTGGATTGTGTGCCTCAGCACCTGCGGAAGGAAAGAGCAGGGAACAAACTAGACACGTGTGCTGCATCAAACTTTTTTTTTTTTTTTTGGGGGGGGGGGGGGGTTGTGTATTTACTGACTGAACACAAGTTCCTGCCCCGACCGAAATTCCACCACTCGTTTCCAAGCTGTAACCTGCGATGACCTCTAGGAGGTGCATTAGAATAGCTAGCGCTACGGTCTGGTTGTTTTGAGAATGTTACAACGAGGAGGTCTCCAGATTCAGCCCCTGCTGACAGCAAGCAACCAAATATTGAGTGCACGATTTCCAAATAAACAGCGAGACCTCTTTCTTTTTACGGTCTCTGAAAATTTATAATGCAGCATGATAGAGAATTTATTAAAACTGCGGACGATAAGAGGGGTTACTTGTTTTCGGTATATATACCGATACACCTCAAAAATCAATCCCGCTATTGAGGGTATTCACTGGGCGCCATATTTGAGGGCGATGTATAGAGCGCACGCTCATGGCGAGCTTACATTAACAGGCTACTAAAACCGGCATTATTGATGGTGTCCAATGCACGTTGCAAAAAAACTCTCGAAGCTTGCTATCAGCTCCCGCTCAACAGTCGCGCACACAGATATTAACCCCATTGGATACTCCCTATGGGGAGCATTCACTGGCGGCCATAGCTTTTTGCTCGACTGCTGAGAGCGTGCTGAGGGCGGGCTTTGACAGGTGTTTTGCAATGTGCAATCCGCACCATCAAGACTGCTGGTCTTAGCAACCTATTAATGTGAGCTTGTTCTGAGCTTGCGCCCTTAACATCGCCTTTAAATATGGCGTCCAGTGAATACCACCTGTAGTGAGTACTCACTGCATGCCGCATTTGTGGGTGCCGTTCAGAGCGCATGCTCAGAACGAGCTCACGGTAAGAGGTTGCTAAGACCGGCAATCTTGGTGTGCAATGCACGTTGCAAATTGACTGTGAAAGCTCGCCATCAGCACGCGCTCAGCAGTAGCGCACATAGATATGGCCTCCGGTGAATTTTCCCTATAAAAGAATGGTGAGCTGGGCTAGTTGATATGATGACGTGCTGAACATAACAGCGCACGAAGGACAAGGATAAAGGAAAGGAAGACACAAAACTTAAGCGCCAACGCGCAACTGAAATATAATACAGAAAGAAAGAAGTTGAAAGCATCGAAAAGGCATGTACTATAAGAGCGCGCCTCATACATAAATTTAACGTCAGAGGGCACATAGCTTAAAAGGTGTGGTTCACACAAGTGCTTCAAAACAGAATAACATAATTTCAAACTACAAGTTCATTTTATTCCCCAATTAGATCCTTTCCAACGATACAGTTTCCTCATCTGAAAACCAAACGGAAGTCGGGCTAAAGCAGCGTTCTTGGAAACTATTCATAACAATTACTTCTAGAATTTCGCGAGTGCCTTTGTCTTAATATCTTACAGTAATTATCGTGCCCTGAAAAGATTGCGAAGACAAACAAGATATATAGTGTAAAGGAAGATAACCCCCGCCCCCTTTTTCAGGGATCGATCATGTTCGGTGAAGCGACCATGCGTTACTGACCGCCTCACCGAACATGATCGATTCCTGAATTCAGCGGTGGGTGTCATATTCCTTTACACTGCCAATCTTATTTGTGTTCACCATATTTTCAAGACACGACAATTATTGTAGGATTTTTCGGCAAAGACACTCGCGAACCTCTGGAAGCATATGTTAATAATAGTTCGGGAGAACGCTGTGTTAATCAGCCTTCTGTAGGGTTATTGGATCAGGAAACCTTGTTTTTGAAATGGGCTTTGTGCAAAGGAATTAATTTGTAGTTTGAAATGATACCCTTTTTATTTAAAGATACTTGTGCGTACCCTACCTATTCATCTATGTGTAACCTACCTTTAAGCTGTGTTTGTGCTGCTCTCTTATAGGGGGTATTCACTGGGCGCCATATTTGAGGACGCTCTTTAGAGCGCATGCTCAGAATGAGCTCATATTAAGAGTTTCTGGAAGTTGTGTTTCCTTTGGTTATGTTTCCTGGAAGTAGTGTTTCCCATGCGCATGTCTCCTGGAGTTTGTGGAATCCCATGCCCGAGTCTTATTTTTCTAAACATATAAGCCCGAAAAACACCGATGTTTTGGCTCGACATCATAAATTGTCAACAAAAAACACCGAATCCATGAGAAAAAATAAACCCCCAAAACACGAATCCCTGATAATATTTAACGTCGCGATTTAACTTTGTTTTATATCTAGAAATATACCGATGGACTAGAGAGAGCACAATGTAAATTCTTCCAAGGTTTTCGCTGGGCAACCTTGTCGGTGGGACGGCACTCGCTCAATTCGGAGGTCGGCCGACAAATTTCTACGCCGGTGTGCTTGCGGCGGGCTGCGCACTGCTGTGCCTCTTGTCGTACGTCCTTATCCAGAGGAGAACTTCAAGGGTCGTAGTCATAACGAGTGAGATCCCTTCGAGGTCCACTTCAAAGTGTTAAACTTTACTTAAAGGAACCTCAGAGTAAAAGGGTAAGTACTGGTAATTGCTGCCAGTACTTACCCTTCCAGTCCTAAACACTAAAAATTCGCATGTCATTGCAGCTAAAAAAAGAGGTGCTGCATGTGTGTCGTACAGAACATTTGCAAGACAACTAATCATTAGTTTGTTGATATTAATTTTTGTCGTTGTGCCCCAAACTAAAGGGCAGTGGTTAATTTGTGAGCCTAATAGAGCACAATAAAGTTTAATCTTAACTTTTGTAGACCGAAGATAGCGACAGTGACCGATGCTGGCTACCTTTGACTGTTCGTGAGTTGCGAATTTTATACTCTGAAGAAATTACGCCTAGCGTTTTTGAGGGCTTGCTATTTTAATCTGGCGGATACCAATTTTAAGCGCATAATCAGTATCAATATGTTTATTTACAAACCTAAACACACTAGCTTTCGTTTTAGCAATGTTTAGTT